TTGTTCCCATGTGAATTAGGACCATGGTGTACTGGTCCGAGGGTTGAACGAGGTCCAGGATCATGCCTGTAACATCCTGAATCCGAGTCCCAGGCAGGCAGCAAACCTCACGTGCCATGGGTGCCTCACATGATTGGGTCGGCAGATGGGACCCTCCGTTCCCCTCAGGATGGAGTCTCTGATGACAAGGACTTGGTGTTTCTTCCTCGTGGTGTTCTGTCCATGTTCAGACTGTGCCGTGTGTAGAGTGGCACCATCTCCCCCGGAGGCAACTTCCTCGACCTTCTCCTCTAAGGCTGCCAAGGCCTCGAATCTGTCCTCTGCAGCCCTGATCCCCAGTAGCCTGCTCACTTTGGCCTGGAGCTCCCTCACCTGCTCCTCCAGGGCCCTAAGTTGGGCACAAGAGGGACAGGCAAGGGAGCCTCTAGACCCCTCTCCCACCAACGGCCTCTGGGTCCCCACCAGGCAGCTCCCACAGACAAGGGGGCAAGGAGCCGCTGGCACCACCATGGGCTCCATCTGGGTGGAGGCCTTGGAGGAGCCCAGGGTAGGTGGCACAACTGGCGCAGGGGCCCTAGCGACCACCCTCCATGTCCTTACCACCGGGTCGTGGTCCCTAGCAGCCGCTCCCCATGTTCTTACTATGTCCGTGAAGCTGTGAGTCTTCCTCCCTCTCTTGCTGCAGACTCCTTCCTGGCTCCCGCTGCATGCCCGCCTTGTGCGAACGCTGACATGGCCTTTCAGAGTGTGCCTGTTCACACGCTCTGTTCGTGCACACTGCCTGCACACTGCTCGGGAGTGCGGCTCCCTGCCAGCTCACCTAAGAGGGCTTGAGGGGGAGCCCCCTCTGGATCCTCTGCAGCTGTGCCGGCTCCCTACTCTCTCCTTGCTTACCTTACAGGATCAGCTGCCGCTGCCTCCACTGCTGGTGAGTGTGGGTAGAGGCTGCACACGTGTGCTGGCTGCACACATGCGGCCACTCAGCTCCCAAGGTTAGATTGGGTTAAAAATGGCCATCCAATCTGAATTGGTTCACTCAGGTACAGACCTTGCACCACTTAGGTGAATCCAAGGGTGAACTGTACAGATGTTCAGGACAATTAGATCAGTCTAAAAATGGCTGAGCCAATATAAGTTAATGTTAACTCCAAGGTACACTCAGCTTGGATCAGGTTAACCATTTTTTTAGACTAATCTGTCTGGAATTTCTGTACATTCCCAGCACAGCCTCAGGGCTGGGAAAGCTGCGGGGCTGCACTTTCCTACCCCCTGCCTGGCACTGGTCCCTCTCCCCACCTCTAGATGAACAATGCTCCCCTCCCCCCCATCCTGAAAGACACTTCCAGTACCAGTATTACTAGCATTCACCAGTGCCAGGGCCAGAGCAAGTAAGTTGGAGGAAGGGTGTATAGGATGAGGGGGGGTTGTTCATCTGGGATGGAGGGCTAAAAATACCCCTGGTTCTAATCCAAGGGGGTGGGGAAAAGAGTCCCTCTGCCCCACCACCAGTCCCCCTGATCCTGCCAAATGCTCCTGGGGAATCCCTTTATTGACCATGTAGGAAAAACAGGAACCAAAGCGTACCTCGGAGATAGTGTTATCTTAGGTCAGGTCAACGTGGTGTGGTTGCCATCCTTGGAGGTGTTCAAAAGGAGGCACTTTGTCGAGCTAATTTGAGCTCATTAACCTCCTGCCCATGGTAGGGGACCAGACTTGATTGTCTTCCAGGTCCCTTCCAGTCCACTGATTCTATGCTAGCTCTGGAATTTGAAGCAATATAGTTGTATTGGCTTGGTGCTGTCCCTAGGTCAATTGTCTCTGCTGAGAAGCAGAAGCCCAGGTGCGGTGACATGCTGACATGCCTACACTACTTCCAGGTCTCAAGCTCATGCATACAAAGCTAGCTTGGGTATCAGTGCACAATTCTGTTTTGAAATGTATGTAAACATGCCAAATCTAGATTTTACTCTAGGTTTTTGTTAATGCAGTGGTTTTGTGAGGTCCAAGCACTTGCATTATAGTCAATGGGCCTACTTCACCATTCCCATGTACATTCACTTGTCGTTTATGCCTCTGTAATACTATGAGATCTCTCTTAACATTTTGTAGTGACCTATGTTTTATAAAAAATGTTATATGCTACACTTTATTAATGCTTTGTAACTAGTAGCTAGCACATCATTTATTAAAATCTTTTGAAAAACCATCCATATGTGTTCCCACATGTTGGGGCATACCTACAATTATGTATTTTTTAAAAGTATTTTCTATTAATCATGTAACATTAGTAAAATATTTATAAATGTACCTTAATTTAAAGTGTCACCATGTTCTTCTTACAAATCAATAATCTGTGACAAGTTTATCAGTGAAGAATGATGTTGCATTAGAATAAACTAGTTTCTGACATTCAGAGCTTTGGTGCAGTTATTTTTCCTTATATCACCAATACATACAATTTATCTCTCTTCTCTTCACTTTCAGATTCATAATGTATTTCCTGTTGTCTCTTTCCATGCCCTCAAATCCTTAGGGGGCAATCTTGTAATTACATGCATTAACTCTGTTATTTTGTGGACTTATTATGATTCTGCACCCACAGAAAAAGTAGCTACTGCATTCTTAAATGCCAGATACTCTTTAACTGTAAAGGCACCTACTATTTTATTGAAACTATTCTTGCTTTATTACTGTAAACAACTTTGATCATAATGATGCCATTTGAAAGAGCTGATCAAGCTGAGAAAAATGACACCACAGTCATAAAGTCATACTAAATTTTGCTATTAACATTTTATAGTGCATATAAGAAAAGTGTTCCAAGTTGCAACTACAGACAAAAGAGAAAATTAATTTTACATAAGACTGTAGATGTGAGCATTAGCAATATACTGGTAAAATAATTTGCACCATATTTTTAAGCACAACAGATGACCCTTGATGTATACACAAAGCATATGGGATGCCAGACCCCAGAAAAAAAAATTGTGCTTGCTCTCAGGGGAATATAATATGTTATGTCTCTGATCCCTAAAATAAAGAAAAAACTATTATGGTAGGAAGAAATATCATATGAAACAAAATCAGATGTTAGGCTAAATGCAAACATATTTCAAACTGGCTGTTGGTTCCATTTTAAGCGTTTAACTGGTGTTTTTAATCACTATACCCCAAAACTGATAATTTGACACTGGGGAAAACAATTCCCCTCCTGGGGGCAGGTTCCAATTTAGGGGTTTAATTCCAACTATAGTGGTAAAAAAATAAAAATAAAAAAAGACAACAAAACCAAATGGGTGCTAGTAAAAAGTTCATCAGGAACTTATCAGTAAAAAAATATATACTGCCTTTTTTTTTTTTTTTACTGCAGATTATCAGTTTAAAAAAAGGGTGGGGGGCAGGGTTGGCAACCCTGATTGACTGCAGCAATGGTTTGACTCCTCAAGAGACCCCCCACTTAACCCTATACCCCAATACCTCCAACTGTAATGCTGCCCCCCCTCCCCCAGCCATCCCCCAACCTGCTCCACACACATTCCCAAAAAGGACTACTATCTACCTACCTGTAAGGTGAACAGGATTAGAGGCAGGTGATGATATTTAGCAGCATATTGTTTTGGGGAAAAAGAGAGCTATGGAGGATCCCCTGGGTTACAAAGTCCTGAGAAAATGCTCCCTGCAGGACGCCACACTCCTGCTCGGGTAGCACTACTCTGCTCTGGCCATGAATACTTGCCTCCAGCCTCTTTACAGAGCTCCCAGTTGCTTAGATTTTTTTTACTGATGGCTCTTTCCCTCCCCCTCCAAGACTTTTTGGATGGGTACTTCTCATCTATCTTTACAGATGTTCCATAAATTTAAAGACAACTGGCAACTCTGGATACAGTAGAAATGTTAGGCTTTGCCCCCAAAATACCTTTCTGTACTAAGTGGAGTAGAGCTACATTGTCATAGGCCTATACCCTATCATGGTGTTGCAGGCACTTGTAAGAGTATAAATTGATGTGCCACTTCAGTGCAGCATAGCTGCCCCTTATGGTTAGCTAATAAGCAGGGGGCTAATGCTTTGTCCTCCGCCCCCTCTTCTTTTGGGTGCTGTATTTTCCTGAAAAACTCTCACTATTTATTCTGAATTCTCCTGGAAGCTGGACAATTGGGCTGCACAATGTAGCAGAAAGTTCCTAACGTCTTCCCACTATTCTGTGTGGTGGCATGAGGTAGAATTTAGCTCCAGATAATCAAGCACACCGATTTCAACATGGTTGCAAAATTACTGTTTTGAGATGCTGGCATTTACCTGTTTCTTTAATTGTTGCTACCTGCTGTACTACACAGTGAATTACAAGATATGGTCTGTTAACACTCTCCTTCAGATTCTCACCCACCTTATTTCCTGGAGGAAAAAAAAGGCAACAGACTGTTATTTTACCTCCTTATATGGCTAATTTTATTCCTAGTTGTATTCTTTAGCTATTTTGTCTAATTTCATAGACTTTCACACCTGTATCATAATAAGGGAATTTCTGTGGAATTCTGCTATGTTGACAAGACACTTTGTTTTACAGCAAATGCCTCATGAAGGGGAAAATGGCATTTTAAACAAATACCTGCTAAATTAATAAACTTCATAAATTACAAAATCCCTGAACACCAACTGCTGAAATACAATAACTCTCTGACCCGAACCTATTAAATGAATAAGTCTGCTGTGCATAATTTACACCAATGCTACACATGAAAAATAGCTCATGTAAAAAGAATGCAAGAGAACAAAAATTTTGTAAAGAAACAGAATTCCTATCTGCTAGGGTTCATTTTAACAGCATGGGCCCCTGGGCAGTCTCATCATTCTCACTTCTGTTAGTGTATCACTTTCAGGAATTGTTCAATTATCAGTAATTTAGCAAAAGCTTTTCTCTTGCTTATGCTAGGGCAGGATGACTAAGCCAGTCTCTTTCATAGTCCACCTCACAGTGGATATACAAGGTGTGATTATAATTCCTATAATCAGATTTATAGACCAAACCTCTCTCACAATAGTCATCCCATTAACTTTGTATACATGTACAATAGATGTATAGGTGTAGATGCATAAAATGTAGAGGAGTATGAGGGTTTTATCAGCAAAGGGTAGCAATGATAGAGCTATGAGTTCCAAAGCATTGCTAGAGTTATGTAGAACACTTCCATATGTGTGCTGATTAAAACCCTCTACTATCTGTCCAGTCCATGAGTGATAAACTCCTGACCTGCAGGTCAGATCCAGTCCATGGAGCTACATCTTCTGGTCCATGAGGCAATTAACACTGCCAATGCTACCCTGCTGCCAAACTTCCCAGCCATGTGTGGCAGGATCAGGACCTGGGCAGGCCACCCCACACAAGAATCCAGCCCAAATGAGTAAAGAACAGAAGTTACTACCATGTGACAGATGCTAGTGGCCTATGTGAAATGATCTTTATAGTCTTCATCCTTTAAAAAAAATCACCACTACATGGGATATTAATGGGCATACTTTTTGGCAAGTTTCAGATACCTAAGGATTGACAAGGCATACAGAATAAGCAATACCACTGACCCCAGGTGGGATTCCTAAGGTTCAGCTTGGAGGTTCTTTGGAGGTATGGGGAGTGTAGATAGCTGCTATGTTGCATCTGTTTAAGAATAAACTGAGGTAATCACTCTAAGGCCTTTCAGGAATACCAGTTCCATACTGATGTGTTTCCAAGCTCTTGAAGCTCCTCCAAGGTTGTTTTACATGTAAAACATCTCGGAGTGTAACAGAGAAAATAAACAGACAAAAATTTCCTTATGCAGAAGAAGACCCAAAGTCAGGAAACAAGAGGAAGGGAAGAAACTGGAGACCTGGCAGGAGCTGGGAAACAGAGCTGGAGAACCCAGGGTCAAAAAGCTCCTTCTATGAATAAATGTATTGTGCAGCTATCTGGGCTGACCTGAAGTGACAATGGACAGGAAAACGGGTTAAGTCACCTGTTCAGTCCCAGCTGGAGCTAACTAGCTACTCAAAGTGCCTAGTGTAATGTTGATTAGTTTCTACACCAACTGGATATATTTCCCTCTTACATAAGGGGGATCTCCTATTAGACCAGATCATGCTCAACCCCTTTTCATTGCAAAAATGATTTAAAAAAAAGACCTTGGTCAGAAAACAGAGGGTTATCTTGGCATATGCCATAGCCTGGACAAGTGTGGTTTGCTCAAGGTTTTCTTTCAAATGTGTACGTTTTCTTCTGCTATGAGTTGAGTGCTTCTTGGCCATAGCTTGTGGAGGGGGGTGGGGGGAAGATCTGGGCTGCAGCAGACTCCATTTCCCAGCAGCCTCTACCCAAGTTGCTGTGGCCAGTGGACATCCCAGGAGCAGCGGGGCCGGGACAGTGTAAGGCCAGGGCTTCCACTGAGACTGGGCCCAGCAGCACTGGTGCAGTGTGGCTGGGTGGGGACCTGCTCTGTGCCTGGGATCTTGCAGCAGTGATAGCATGTTTCAGAGCCAGGGGAGAGCTGCATTATGGTGCCTGCACACCCCAGGCAGGGGCATGAAGGTAACAGATCGCAGCTCTGGACCACACTGTCACTGCCACAAGATTCCAGCCCTGGAGCAGCTCCCCGCCCAGCTGCATACTCTGCCAGTGCTGCTGAGGCCAGTCTCCATGGAAACCTGGCCCCATGATATCATGGCCCTGCCACTCCTCGGATCTCTATGGAAACTGGCTGCAGCAACATGGGTAGGGGCTGCTGGGAAATGAAGGCCAGCTACCAGCTGGATTGACCATTTTGCCCTCTCCTGGCTTAAGATCTGGACCACTATCTTGTGACATATTTTTTTAAATCTTTCCAAGCAACTACTTCAGTATCAAGTAAAGCATATAATTAGATGCATTGGAATGGATATTAAAAACAAAGTCACGTGAAAATACTGTATGCATTAGGATTCTCTGAAAGCATTAAGGTATTCAGAGTCATGCTGTTATTTTTTGCACAGCATTTTTCCTTCATCTCTTTTTCTGGTTGCATGTGAACCTATAGTGGGATAATGAAGTGAGAATATAGTAGGATATTGGATATTAAATTTCCTGCCTAACAGTTTTTAGGGAATTTTGCTCAAGGCAAGAGCAAACGCAGGCTTTCTGCCCTGAAGAATCAACTAGCGTTGTGTTACAGAAATAAGTGTCAGTAACAAATCAAGAGGTCTCTTTCTGCATGACATCATTGCATCTTTTCCAACTGTAATACAGATCAGTGTTTTGGGGACAAAGGTTTTTGTTTGTTTCAGGGGGAAAAAAAATGAAGACTTTTTATATTGAATGTATGATTGTGCACTGTATACGTTTATAAATGAAGATGTACTTGTCCTCCCTGGAAAAACTAGGCTATGGTATAATTTGCAGCTCAATGTCAAAGATTGGTCATCTTAGTCCTCCTATCATAAAATTCTCATATGCCTTAGAACTTTATGAAGAAGGAGAAGAGCTTTGTTTCCTTTCTTCCTCTTCCCCTCCCTTCTTTCCAGTAACTTTCCTTTCTATGGGCTATATCCATGTTTCTCAACCTTTTGAGACTCAAGGAACCTGTTGTTAGACTCCCCCTCCATAACTTTTGTGACTTCAGTTGCACATAGTTTCAAAAACAAATTAATCTATTGCAGTTGTTACTTTCTTGCAGTGGCAGGGGAGCAGTCAGGCAGAGACGGCCTGCCCATATCTGTTTATCTTCTCACACCTTGCTTATTTTCTCACACTTCCTGTAGCACCACTCAAAGAATCTTGAAGAATTCCAGTGTGCACTAGTACCTTGGTTGAGAATCACTGAGCCATGGGTATGGTATACCCTGTTCTAGCATCTGTCACTATTGTTCCATTTTTCTCTTTTCTTTGTTCCCTTGCTTCTACCATTAGTCAGCTCGCCAGGGGGGAAAAAAAAAAACTTGCCTCTTTCTCTCCCTACAAGTGTCAAATTCTCATAACCCCTTCTCACAAATTACTCAGGAGGCCAAAATTCTGTTATGGGTCAGAGACCTTAAAGTTTGGTGTTACACATTTTTGTTGAACTAGAAATGCAAGCCTTATATCAGCAGGAAGATTTTTTTCAGCTTCTAAGGGTGCATCTACATGCACATGCTAATGCACTTGAATAAACTCTGGCGCTTATTGCTTTGGAGTTTATTGCTCCCAGGTACAGGGCTCCAAGTGTGCCCAGGAGCACAGCATGTTGAGCTGGGTCAGAGAAGCCCTAGCTGATGGAATCCCAGGGGTCAGCCTGCCAGCGTGGGACTACTCCCCCCAGCTCAATATGTTGCAGATGGGCTGGCTGAGGCATAAGTGTGCTTCAGTGTGGAGCCTAACTGGCAGGCAGCCCCCACACTGAAGCACATTCATGATCCAGCCATCAGGGACAGCATCTATACACATGCTACTGTGGAGTTTTTTTTACTTCAGTTTTTACAAGTAGTATCCTGCTGTGGAGTAAATTGGTTTACTCCAGCCTTATAGCGGTGCACGTGTAAACACATGCCACTTACTGCACAGCTAATTAGCCTGCTATGCAGTAAACATCTGTAGATGTGCCATAGTAGGATTATCGTATAGTGCAGGACAGGCCAATAGCAATTAAAGCATTCTACTTTCATGAGGGGTACAAAATTAGCTGAATTTAAAAGGGAATTTAGAAAATAGTTTTTCATTGGCATTAATGGATTATACTAGTGGTACCCAGCTGTTTGGCCCTATGGGTTGAATGACCAGTACCAGGCTGGCCAACAAATTGGATTGGGTCTATGGGCTAAATCCTAAAAGTAGAGACATAGACTATTTCAGTATTAATCCTGTGAAGTACTTTGAAGTACTTGGTTATTCTGGTTACTAGCTGCTCATCCTGAATATAGTCCAATTTAAATAGCATTGGCTACTTCTAGGGTCCCCCTACATGTGCAGGTAAAGGCATGTTAGGATTTCATGTGCAATCCACACAGTTGTACTCCCTGCCATGCCACATGTGCATGGCAGGAAGCATGATTTTTTGGGATTGCATATCAGATCTCATTGCAACTTTTTATAGCTGGAGGAGGGGAAACCCGATCTTGGGCTCCCCATGCAGCAGCAAGAAGCAAGCTCTTGTAGCCAGGAGCCTCATCAGCTGTCCTGGGCTCCCAGCATTAGGGGCACCCCAGGGGTCCCCATGGCAGGGAGACCACAAATGACACAGTATCCCAGCTGTGGAGGTGGTCCATACATCCCTGAAGCTAGGACACCATGACAAATATAGTCTCGCAGTCAGAGATGCATGGGGTACCCCAGAGGCTGAGAACCCTGTCAGCTGATGGGGCTCCTAGCTACAGGGGCATAGATTCTTGTGGCTGGGAGCCAGCATCCAGCTGGGGGCTCCCAGACTTGGGGGTGCACATGGGCCCTCCCAGCTGAGAGCTCCAGTCAGCTGACACGGCTCCTAGCCACAGGACCCCTGGCTACACATTCAGTTAACAGCATGATAGGAAGTAGCTACAAAGTTATTCTATATTTTGGGGAATAACTTTGTAGTGTATTCCTCTTTATCACATCATTTAACTAACTGAACATGTGACCATGAACACTGCATGCCCCTGGAGGCTGGGAAGGTATGGTGAGCTGCCACACTCAGTGGCAGCATGGTGGCGGCAAGCGGTGAACTCCCGTAGGTGGCCGTGACACCGTCACTGGTGTGGGGTGGTAAGCGCTGTCCAGTGGTTGGCAGCCACCTGCAGACGCTGCTGGCAATGGCGGTGGCAGCCAGCAGTGACTGGGGGCTGCATGCAGAGGCTGTGTTGGTGGCGAGGGGAGGAGTGGCAAGTGGCAACCACCTGCAGGCACCGCCAACGGTGTCAGCAGCACTCTTTGCAGGGGATGCACCGCCAATCTCAGGGGGTGCACATGCACCCCTATGCATCACCAATGCATGTGACCAGGTGACCATGTAAGATGTGATTAAATGGCCAATCACATCTTAAATGTAATATGTAGATGGGGCCATAGATTAATAAAAACAATATATCTTTTTCATAAGGGCATCTGAGACTTCAATATGAGATTAGCCATTACTAAGAAAAGTTTGCAATGCACCTCTAAAGCATACCAATGCATAATATAGATCTAATTAAGACATTCTATATTGGGACTACATTTTTCTATGTTTGAAAGTGCCCTAATTTTCAAAATTATAAGCAACTTGTAAAGTCTTCTATAAATTCTTTGATTTTAAAAACACACACTAATAAAGATCCAAATAGCCTGTCTGAACTAGCGACAGAAATCAAGGACAATAAGAAGTCCTTCTTTGGGTATGTAGGGAACAGGAGGAAAACAAATGGGAGTGTGGGGCCATTGCTTAACAACTCAGAACAACTGGTTACCAACATTCAGGAGAAAACTGAACTCCTGAATGACTACTTTGCCTTGGTATTTCACCAGACTAAGGGGAAAATC